AACAGATGCGACATTTAACCTGCATAAATGAAATAAATAATTTACACTTCAAGTCACATTGCTGTTTTTCCTGTCCTGATAGATTACACTGAAACAAAGACAAACTATTATATTATATTATTTGCAGTTAAAGGATCAAAAGGATCCCACACAGCAGAAACATTTCTTTTTCTTTCTGGTTCAACTTTGTTATGGAGAGATGTTTTTTTTCTTTATCTTTGCGAGAGTAATTTTGTGGGTTTTTTTGGTCGTGACTCATTCCGTTGTTAGATGCGGATGCGGTACCTTTTAAACACAGTTTGGCGCGTTGGCAATGAGCGAGACAGCAGCTGTATCGATCACGTGACTTCTTAAAGCGACGCACGCACTGATACAGGCATTGCTGGGTGAGCTTGATACAAGCGTCGGTCCGTCAGTGTTGCAGGACCCATCACTAGTAGCTGCCATCACCAGTGTGTGAATGACTGGTTGTGTAAAGCGCTTTGGGGTCCTTAGGGACGAGTAAAGCGCTATACAAATACAGGCCATTTACCATTTACTTGTCTGGAGATTGAACAAGTAACACAAAAATGATTCTGTCCTACACCTCCAGCCTCCAACATCTCCTTCTCATAATGGATGTGTGTCTTGATCTAGAAGAGAAGAGAAGACCTTACTTGACCCAGGGTTTTCAAATCAAGTGGTGGTCTAAGGAGCTTGGAAAGAAAAGTGTGAATACGTTTCACCTCTCATCCGAAAAGCTTCTTCAGTTCTGAAGAAGCTTTTCGGATGAGAGGTGAAACATCTTCAAGCAACTTAAAGAAGTTCAGACGCTTTTCTTTCCAAGCTCCTTAGACTGCGATGACCTGGATGACTGAGGACCTTCACAGACATATTAAGTGGTGGCAGTTACTGAAGTATAAAGAGCAGCTTGTAAACACTGTCATTATAATAGAAGTGGGTAAGAATAAATCAGCAGAAGATATATGGAATGATGTGGTCACCCAGATTCATAAAGTCCCGGATAAAGCCCTCCAAAGAACAAAACCAGGTAGAAAGTTTATGGACAAGCAAGGCAGTGAGTGACACTTAGAGAAGAACAGCATTCCTGGAGACAGGAAATCATTCAACAAAGTGCCTCACAAACTCATCTGACCTGCACCTTGTCCCTGACATGTGTCACCATGCACCTGCTAATCAAAGTGGCCACACCCCTACTAATGGTAACTTTGGGCCTTAATTGAATTTGAACAGGTGAATCATAAAAACATTCTCATCCTGTACAGTTGTTGTGAAGAGACGAAGAAATCATCAGATTCTGACTCTTTGAATTGATTCTCCTGTTTTGTGTCCCAGGCAGCGAGGGTGTTCATGATGTCCTACCAGTTCCTGACTCTGGTCCTGGAGGAGGACGGGACTGTGGTGGACTCAGAGGAGTTCTTCCAGTCGCTGCCCAACAGCACACTGCTGATGGTGCTGGAGAAGGGGGAGATGTGGACAGAGAGCAAGGTGAGAGCAGAGATGATGTTCATCACTGCGGCTGAGTGTCTGTGTGCATTTAGGAAGTGAGATGATCTCTCTTCACTGAGCCCAGGAGGGAAGTTCACACACTTCAGCAGCATGAAGAACAGACAGGAAACAGACAGGAAACAGACAGGAAATGGATCAGAACTTAAATAAATAATTCTTCTTAAATACGTGTTTTGTTGCCCAGAATAGTGTAGCTTGTTTTTAAAAACACATAAAGTTAAAAAGCCGTTTACCCAAATCAAAATTTTCTGAACATGTTGGTGTTTCAGATTATTCCATGCTTTCGTCAGCCAAAGAAGAGTGGGATTGCCAAAGTGACCTTTGACCTCTACAAACTGCAGCCTAAAGACTTCCTGTGCTGCCTCGCCATCAGGGCCACAGTGTATGAGACGCACACACTCTCATACGACTTCAGATTCACCAGGATCAAACGCATCCTCGAGTAAGCCGAGCCTGATCACAGTAACAGTCTCAGCAGTGTTGTGCAAAGTCTTTTCTAGTTATATGTAGTTCATATTTTCAGTTTCCAGTCTGAATTGTTCAAAGCTTTCAAATTCATAACTGGCTAAGTTAACTTCTTGTGTACGTTTATATTTCTTACCTTTTCTCCAATTTTGACACAGAACTTTATGAACACTTTGCAGAAAC